ACTTCACTAAATGAACTAATATTCCAATTGCCCCCAACCACAATCTCTATGGTTCTTGGGAGTGCCCATAGACCTTTATATCTTATTGCAAAAAAAAGTCAGTTCTTTGGGAATAGATTAGGAGCTATCTGTTCTAAATTCTGCTTCTCCCTTCAGGCAAAATCTCTAAGTCAGGACTTTAAAGCTGGGGGTGAGGACAATGCCACACTTCAGTCTAAGTGACAACCCTCCTTTAGGAGCTGAGCACTTTGTGGGTGTAGACAACAGCCTGGGGTCTTCTTTTCTTGTTTCTCCTAGCAGAGAATCATCACTTTACAAGCTAGAACTAGTATGATCAGGTCTGCAGTATTCTTAGTGACTTTCTACCCAAGGTAGAGACTTCATTCCATGAGTAAGGGCTGGTTGTAGGACAGGAGTCTCCACTTTTCAATTGTACCTGTCTGAACCTATACTCATCAGCAGGTGGCTGATTCCTGCTTTTCCAAGGAAGAATCCTTCTGTGCTGGGATCTGGGGACAGAGCATTGAGATCTTCAATATGTTAGTGTGGAGTGTGCTTTCTACCTTAATCAACTGGGGCAGATTGGAAGGAAGTGATTTTGTTTCAAATATCATTGACTCTGGCTTAACAAATTTTCATAGATTTTCTTGAATAGATATTTCTTCATTTATTGTAGGCTCCTAGGATCATGTCCCTGGGCTTTAAATAGTTTTGTATTTTGTAAACAATTTTTATCAGTTTCTGTGGAGCAGGTCCACAGAACTCACAACACCATGCCAGAAGTTGATTTGTGTCCACTGTTTGTTGATATACACTTTCAGCCTTCAGCAAGCAGGTTAGTCTGTTAAGTAGATAGCAAGGGATTCTAGGTCTCCTAGGGATGAAAGTGGGTGCCTTTCCTTGGTGCTGCCTTGAGCAATTGCAACACCTGGGAAGAATGACAAGGGTAGTCCCGGGGCCCCCATCTTGGTGCTGCCTCACCATAATCCTGTCCCCAGCAGCTGCCATACATGGGGGAAGAGGGAACGCCCTACCAATCTACCAATCAGAGCTTAGCACATCAATTGCAAACAAATGAAGAGGACTCTCTAGCCCACAAATCAAGTGGCATAGGTACAATAGAGTCTGGAGGGTAACTTAGGACAACCTAAGGATAATTATCAAGCCATTAGCATAAATCTACATTGCAGTTCACTCTCCCATGGGCTTTCAGAAAAGCTCATGGGAGATCCGCATGTGTAGTAATACTCAGGTCAGATAACTCCCAACTGTCCATCAAAGTGGTTCCATGATGACATCTGAATCATGGGGAGCTCCCTATGCAGACACTATAAAACAAGACCCAGACCATAACCAAGGTATCTTTTGCTACAACAAGGGGTCCAGTCATCATCTGTGGTGTATGTATCTTGTTCTGTAAACCTATATCTTTCTGTTGCCCTATAATCTTATCTTGCTCCCCTTCAATAAATTTCTTCTCATGTTTGCCTTACTTGGCGTGTTTGTTCATTCTTCACCCATGAGCACACCAAAAACTGAGAACACAAAACAAGACTGCCAAACCCAACAAGTGTAGATGTTATTTCTTGTATCTATACATCTAATTCTTGACTCTTTTCCTTTGCTTACCTAGTCCTTTTACCCAATGTTTATGTTTACTCCTTTACAATTTTATTATCTACCTATATCTCAGCCATCCTTAAAATAGAGCCTCTTTCTCCAGCAAAACTTTTGTTGACAACTCTAATCCATGCTGGTTTTGATTCTCATATCTTTATTATATTCCATTCCACATAGTATTATAGCTTTGTTATATAGTGTTCTGTATTATTCATTAATTGTTTTATATATGAACTTGTTACCTGAATTAAATTATTGCTTGTTACCTGCCCTTTGCAGGTGAGATAATGGTTGAAACTTCTTTTGAATCATCTTATGAGCAAACACATAGAAGTCAATGGGTTTGTCAGACATCACTGAACTACTCAAAGTGACTTAAATCAACTGCAGTACATCAGCCCTAGAATGTTAAACACATGATTAAAAACATGGATATCTATCAATATCTATTTATATATGCTTTCATATACATATATATATATGTGTACGGATCCAAGAGAAAGTAAGAAACATGGTGTTTTCGGGAAAATAGAAATTGTCCACAGAGATTAGTTAAAAATAAATCAAATGGAGTAGTTTAAGTACTTGAACTGTAGAACATGTTCAGGAATTACATTAAACTTCTATACACAAAACAATAAATATATCCATACAGAGAAACAGAAAATTAGATCAACAAAGTAAGGATTAGAAAGAATCCTCTTTACCCTTAATAAATTCAGCTTAGATGAAATAGAAAGATAGAAATTACTTGTTTTAAAATGTATGCTTTTTTAAAAAAAACAATTTTATATTGTTTACTTGTTATCAAAATATGTATCTTATATATATTTATTTAACTTGGCAATTCATCATTTAGTTGTTTCTCATAAAGTAGAGATTTTTTTTCTGACATGATATACAACCAGAAGCCATGAAATTAAATGCTAAATAAAGTTTACATTTTAAAAATTATATATAGTATAAAAATAACTGTAAAAACCAAAGGCAAGTAAAAATTTCTTTGAAAAATGTTTGTTACAGATATGACAAAGGAATATTTTCCTTAATATACAAAGATTTTTTTCATAAATATAAAGCAAGAAAATTAAAGCAATAGAAACATAGGCTAAGAACATAATGGTAGATTGCATTATGTGTTCACAATATATTTTTTTTCTCTATATGTTCTTTATATGCCTTTATACCAAATTGAATTTGGTCTTGGCCATGTGACTCACTTTTCCAATCTAATGTAAAGGGATATGTTGTCACAAGTCTGATGTCCCACATCTGAACAGAAGCTTTAGATGTTACTGTATGTCTTCATACAGGTCCTTTTGCACTGCAACCCAACCATGAGAACTACAAATTATAGATAGTGACTACGCCTATAACCTGAATTTCAAAATGAGAAGATTTACAGAGCTGAGCCCAGCAAAGCCAGAGTAGACCCATGTATTTATACGCCATGAGGAAGAAATAAATTCATTTTGTTAAAAAGCACTGAGATATGGGACTGTTATCACAATAAAATCTGTCTTATATAAAACCAAACTCCAAGTTCAAAGAAAAATAAATACAAATACCTTATTAACACAGGAAAATATGCTCAACTTAACTCAAGTTTACAAAGTGCAAATTACAATAGCAGTGAGATATATACATTTTTAAAAATTAATCAAATAAGCTAAGATTTATAATCAATGTTGACAATGCTCTAGAAGTATTACAAACATTCACAAACACTACTGGTGGAAGTTTAAATTTTTTCTACCTCTCTCTCCTATGAAATTTTTAAAGCACATATCATAGAGCTAGCCATTCCATAGGAATATATCCACCTATAAATTCAAGCATATGCACAAAGATGTATGTGAAGTGGTACTCATTACATAGTCCTTTTAGCAAAAAAGAAAGAAAATTAAAAGAACAAAGAATTGGTTAAATAAATTAATGAACAGCCATATCATGGCATAAAGAGTAGCATATAATAACATAACTGAAAGAATATGGATGATACACTGTTTGTTAATTTTAAAAATCAAGTTGCACAACAGTGTGACAATATAATCTCATTTATTTTTGAAACATTCTGATATATGCATAGAAATTATCTGGAAAGATACTTAAGAAATAGTGTAAAAGTTTTATATCCAGGGAATGGTTTTATGAATCTGCTAGTGTCATAGTGAAGCAACTTCTACTTATCACTACTTGCTATTCTATATGAATATTTATTTTATATTATGTATTATTTTCATGATTAGAAGGCCTAGTTTAAAAGTAAAATTGAATTAAATGAAAATGTGTTTTAAAAAGATGTGTGAGCCGAGTTGATAAATTTGGATCTCACATCAGCATGCTCACTATCCTGGACCCATGAGACTCTGCCGCCACCTGTGGCAGAAAACATAAATTGAAGATGCAGGCATTAAAACATGGAAAATAACAGAGAAAAGGTTCTGTAGCTAAAAGTGTGTAGTTGTTATTAGGGCAAAGAACCTGGAAGCATGTGACAACGTTTATCACCTAACTTGGTGCTGAATACACAATAAAATAGCGATTTATTGAGAGATTCATGGAGCATTAGGGAAACAGAGAAAGCAAGCACTGTCTCCAAGATTCTTTTTCTTTAAGTTTCAAATACCAGGTATCTCTCACAGCAAAAGACAAAACAAAACAAGACAAAAAACAGGAAAATTGTAACTCACAGCTGGCCTCATATTAATGGGTCTCACTTTTTTCTAGGCCAGAGTTTGCCCATATTATTTATTTAAAATCAAATAGCTTCTTAGGCTGTGATTTTACATGCAAATGGCTTTCAATGTTTTACAGGACCAAAGTCAGTTAAGAAAAGACTTTCAAACAGGTGTTTCCCTACAGGCATATGGAGTTCCCTGCCTTTTCTCTTTTATCCCTCATGGCTAGATTCCCCAAGCCCTGCTGAGTCAGGTTTAGTTAGCTTAGAAAATTTTCAATTCCACGTACCCATCACTGACAGAATCATTGAGTAATGAATAAAAGGAACCACGGGTAGTAGTTTCAAGCTTCAGTTTCTGTCATAGGGAAAAATTAATCACAAATTGTTAGATACAGAAATATCATTTTTTGAACTATGATTTAAAAGGGCACAATCAACTAATTGAAGCCAGAACAGAAATGCTTAAATAATGTATAGAGTAGATATCTTGGTGGAAAGTATATTTTAAACATTTTAAAACATTTTAAACATTTTAAACATTTTAAAAAAACATGTTTTTTTTTATGGCTTGAAACATTCCCAAGAATTAATGACACAGGAAAATAAGAATATGAATAAAGCTGATTAGGAAAATTGAGGCAAAAATTTTCAAAAAAAACCAAAAACAGAAATTAGCTCTTCCGTGCTTAGCACAGCCATGGCCTGCGGTCCCAAGAAGCATCTGAAGCGTGTAGCAGCTCCAAAGCATTGGATGCTGGATAAGCTGACCGGTGTGTTTGCTCCTCGTCCATCCACCGGTCCCCACAAGCTGAGAGAGTGTCTCCCACTCATCATTTTCCTAAGAAACAGGCTTAAGTATGCCCTGACAGGAGATGAAGTGAAGAAGATCTGCATGCAGCGCTTCATTAAAATCGATGGCAAGGTCCAAACTGATATAACCTACCCTGATGGATTTATGGATGTCATCAGCATTGACAAGACTGGAGAGAATTTCCGTCTGATTTATGACACCAAGGGTCGCTTTGCTGTTCATCGTATCACACCTGAGGAGGCCAAGTACAAGTTGTGCAAAGTGAGAAAAATCTTTGTGGGCACAAAAGGAATCCCTCATCTGGGTGACTCATGATGCTCGTACCATCCGCTGTCCTGATCCACTCATCAAAGTGAATGACACCATTCAGATTGATTTGGAGACTGGCAAGATTACTGATTTCATCAAGTTTGACACTGGTAACCTGTGTATGGTGACTGGAGGCGCTAACTTGGGAAGAATTGGTGTGATCACCAACAGAGAAAGACATCTCGGGTCTTTTGATGTGGTTCACGTGAAAGATGCCAATGGCAACAGCTTTGCCACTCGCCTCTCCAACATTTTCGTTATTGGCAAAGGCAACAAACCATGGATTTCTCTTCCTCGAGGAAAAGGTATCCGCCTCACCATTGCTGAAGAGAGGGATAAGAGACTGGCAGCCAAACAGAGCAGGGTGAAATGGTCTCCATGTAACATAATAACATGTTAAAAAGTTATTTGTACTTAATTAAAAATATTACAGTGTGAAAAAAAAAACCCAAAAAACAGAAATTAGCCAATCAAGAAGAGTGATAATTACATGAAACTCATATTTATTATATAATTCATACTATTAATTTATGAAAAGAAATATGGCATTTAGGTATTTGTCCTGTGTCTATTCTAAATAATAGTGATTATATTTACACGGTAGGACCTAGACAGATTTGATGTAACCCCTCTCCCAAACAAAGAGGAGAATGGAGCCAAAATTTGAATCAAACTTCTGCTGGATTTGGGGATGTTCTGTTGGGAGGTTGATCTTTGCCTTCAAGGATTTCAATTTGAGTGGCCTGGGGAAATAATATTATACAATAAGGGCTATACTAACAGTATGATTAACAGCCTATCGCACTCATGAGAAAACAATATAATGTTTACGTTGAAGGTCATAGAAGTTGTATTTGTTATCTATTAATGTGTAACAAATTACCTTAAATATTAACACTTGAAAACAACACACATTTATTTCATAGTTTCTGTGGATCAGAAATCTGAGCACTTATCTACTGGGTCTTGTACTTCAGGGTTTCTCAAAAGAGTGCAATGAGTATTTGTGGCCACATAGCCACGGCCGGGGAGTCATGTCAAGACTTCACTGGGGACAGGTCCCCTTCCATTCTAACTTAAGGAGTTTTGAGTGGGAATTCAGTTTTTCAAGAGATGTTGAATGGAGAACCTCAGGGCTCTCGGTGCATTATCACATGGACTTCTTCAACATTTTACCTTGTTTTTATCAAGGCAAAATATAAGTCACCATATTTTATAACAACCACGGAAGTGACATCTCATGACTTTTGCTATATTTTATTGGTTGGGAGGAAGTCACTAGATTCAGGCCATATCCAAGGAGAGGAAATTACAAAAAGGTTTGAAAACTAGGAGATGAGAATCATGGTGGGCCATATTAGAAGTCTGCCTTCCACAGCAGGTTTCAAACTAAAAGTGATTTTTCTTCTTCTTGGAAGATACATAACACCCTACAAGCCCATTTCTGATCTAGTTTGACTAATTTGCTGAATAAAAAATCTGATGACAATGATAATTTCATTAGAAAAAATATCATACCATAAAAATAAAATATTTTTTCTGGTAAGGTATAATTTGGCTAGTCTTGTTTTCCTGAAGAGTGCTTTAAAATTTATTCCCAATCTTTCTATTGTCACCAGTTGTGATAAAATGTCCAATACATCAAAATTACCAATGGCAAATGATATTATGGAACTTATTGTAGCACCCAAAACCTCCTTTCAATAGATATAGTTCTTTAGAATTTTGCCGAATTGATGAAGCAGACAAAAAACAATGCTTTCTGAATTGTATAGAATTTTACTAATCTCAAGTTGCCTAATCTTAACAAGCAAGCTTAACTTTGCTTCAAGCTTGATCAAAGGAAAAAGAAATTAGAAAATATTTTATAAATAAGCCCAGTGCCCATTTTCAAATGTTATCATTCTCTCCATTCTGTTTTCTCTGATCACTTTAATTATTCAAAAATCATAATGAAAACTAGAGTTATGAATTAAGCAGGATGGGCTGGCTGAACATTGCCCTTCAGAAGCCTTATCTTTTTGGCATTCCCTGGTCTATGACAATAATGATTAGATATCACCACCCATGAGGACATGCGGAGGAGGGGAGCTTTGATTTCACAAGCTATATTTGTCTAAGGAGTTGTAACCAAGTAGATCAAAAGAGGAAGAGAAAGTTTTATAGAGCTATGGAAATATATTTTCTCCAAACCAACTGCAGATAGAAAAATAAAATTTTATCATTTAATTAAAAGAAAAATCAATGACAAAGGAGGTAAAACATAAAATTAAATTTGAATGATAAAAATAAATCCAAATATTGTGTAACAATTTTTCCTTGGTATCCAGAGAGCATTTATTTCAGGACCTCCCTTTTATAGCAAAATTTGTGAATACTTAAGTTCTTGATATAAAGTGGCAAAGTATTATTATATAACCTATGCATATCATATATATATACTTCTATATACTTTAAATCACCTCTAGATTACTTATAATGCCTAATATAATGTAAAGATTTTGTAAATAGAAGCTATATTATATTGTTTGTGAAGTAATAACAATAAAAAAGTCTGCATGTGTTTAGTGCATACACAATATTTTTCCCAAATTTTTGGTCCCTGATTAGTTGAATCCATGAATGCAGAATCCATGGATACAGATGGCCAACTGTACACCAGTATATAAAAACTGTCTTTGTCCATTTTGTCTTGCTATAAGAGAATACCACACACTGGGTAATTTATATTTTAAAAAAAGAAATTTATTTCTCATTGTTTGAAGGCTAGAAAGTCTAATATCAAGGAGCCAGCATCTGGTAAGGTCCTTCTTGCTACATCATCCATGTGGAAAGGTGTGAAAGTGAGAGAGGGTGAAAGAGAGAAAGAGCGAATGGGGTCAAATTCATCATTTAATCTGGAATCCATGATAACTAACCTATTCCTATAATAATGGCTTTAATCCATTCATGAGGGCAGGCGCCCTGTGATCTAATCACACCTTAAAGGTCCCACCTCTCAATACTGTTGCATTGAGGATTAAGTTTCTAACATATGAACTTTAGGGGTCACATTCAAACCATAGCAGGAACTGCATTTTCATATGTATGTGTATTTTTTTTTGCTATGAAAAGCCAAAATGTATCAAATTATACTTTTAAAGTTCATAAGCTCCTACCTTTAAATCAAAATAAAAATCAAATTAAAAATAATATATAAGACTATTGAGACAATGTATCAGTCAATCACGTAGCAATTAATGCTACTGTGGCAATATCCCAGCCAGATTTTAAGGTTTATTACATAAAGAAAATGGATATTACATGATTGTCATCAATGAAAAAAGTTAAGCTCTAGTGACAACAAACTGAATTCTCCCTAATGACAAATAGAAGCAACTTGTTTGAAGACAATTCTCTAAGTATTGAGAAGACAGTTCTCACATTTGCAAACAGAGATATTGATAGCATTTTTTTCTCAACTCTCTTTTTAAGAATGTTTGTATAGGGAACAGTCTTGAAAGATAGAGGTTTTTCTTTCAGAGCACAGGTAGGTTTATTTACTGTTAGGTGTAATAAAAAATAATATCTCCCTCTGTAACTGGCTCCATGAACAAATTTTAATGACCCTCATATGTTTTCTATAATCCTCTCCCTTAAGTAACTACTTGACATTTTGGGTTGATTCCCAGTAAAGGTAGATTTTCTGCAAGACAAAGAAGTTGAAATTCTGAAGGCCACTGGTGAGAATTCATGATGCCAAGACTCACAATTCCCCCTGACCTGCCACAAGGCACATGGCCCTTCCTTAACACATCGACTGCTACCCTAGAAAAAAAATTTTTTTCTTTGGGGCCACGGTGTTTTTCACTAAAATATAATAAAAACATTGAAATCAAAATGATCCTTTCTAATTTAAAGAAAAATTTGTTATTTTTATTGTTTTCTGTGTTTTTTTCAATAAAAAAGTAATACAAAAACTTGGAAATAAGTAATGTGAAAACTTGAATAATAGTTCAAAAGAATAAAGTGTTTTTCTTGACTTGTCAGGCTTTAGTGTAATGTAAGGATAAATGTAAATAGAAATACAAAATTTATTGATTTCTATTCATTTAATCTGCATTTTTAGGATGACATTGTCAATATTAATTATAACAATAAGAACATCAACAAATAAGATTTTCATGAACCAACTGCTGGATTTTGCTCAGTTTTGCTTCATAAGGCCCAGAGCTCAAAACTAGCGTGAGTTAAATACAACTAACATGGCAGCTGATGTGTTCAAAAGCTCATGATCTCCATTAGTCAGGGAGATGGATTTGAGACAGCTTCTCTCATTCTCTTTCATATCTTAGCTATGAAAGACAAGATGTCTTTCATGTCTAAAAAAAAAAAAATTCCTTTCCTTCTCGCCAATACTCATTGTCTCAATAATTGGATCTTTGTGTGATGAGCAACTGCAGTTAGGCTGAAATCTCCTTGCAGTTCTCATAACAATTATGGAGGCCATGCTTGCCTCCAGACAGGCCAGTGCTATTTGAAGGTACCTTCACAGTTGGGGATGCCTCTCTCAATTTGGGGAATTCCTGCTTGATTTGACTTGGATAAGCCCCAAACCATTGTAGGAACTAACTTGTTTTGATTTGGCACTCCTCAAGTTTATTAGTTTGTTTGGAACTGCAGTTTGTTTGGAACCTATTGTTGAATTTTTCTTTGTATTGAGTGTTCACCTGTATTGGTGTGTCACATGTAAATGTGGAGTCTGTTAAGCTCTTTGTCTCTATTATCTTTTCTGCCTACTTGAAATTTGCTGTTGATGGTATTATAAGCATAGTCCAAGCTCTGGGAGGTTGAGAGACACCTCCAATCCTCAGGTCTGGGAGATTAAAAGACATTTCTGTCCTAAGGTCTAGAAGATTGAAAGACATTTCCATCCATGGAGGCAACCTGGCCAAGGTGTGGGGCTGCCTGCTATTGGAAAGGGAAAGAGAGGAATTGAAACATAATGTGTATAAATCTGTGTGGAACTTCAGAGGATCTCATGGCTAGAGTTCTGAGATAAAAGCTATTAAAACTTTGTGTGCAGGCCTATGTGTTTTAGGTGTGTTTTGTGTATATACCTGTATTATATGTTATGTCCACAAGGTACCAAAATTGGCTTATAAATAAAAGGAGGTCTTACAAATTAAGTAAATAAGCCCAAGGACTTTTCAAATTCATGTGAAGTTAGTAATCTTTGGTAAATAAGCTGGTTTAAAAAAAATACTGGAAAAATAAAAATAAAAATGTCTTCAAAATTGTCAGCATACATTTTGCCAGGATTTACTGGTCATTTTTGTATTTAAAGGTGTCAGGGTATGACACAAAATTTATAAAAGTATAAACCCAGCCCAAACAAAATAATCCATTTTTGTATGATTT